CCTTCGGGCGTGCGGACGCTGTGGCGGAGCCCGTGCCTCTCGGCCGGGAGGGCCTCCTCCAATCCGGGTCTCGGAAACCAGCAGCTAGTCCGAGCCCTTTCACTCCTCACGGTGCAGCCTAAGCAAGTCAGAAGCCCGCTTCGCTGAAAGCCTTACGCTCAGATAAGACCTCTGAGTTTCCAAGAGAGGATATAGCATTATGGAAGGGGTAACGTTTAGACACTTCTATATTATGAGATGGCGGGCTTTTCCTATGGCTTTGTATTTTGCTTTATGTAAATGAAACCAAACAGGATGGCACATCTGACTTCTACAGTGTTTAAACTGACTTACACTTATGTCATTTTATTTAAAAAGAAAAGACCTCCAAATCATACCTTTCTGAAGCAGGTCAGATACACTTTCTTCATTCATTGTACTGTTGGTACACTCACTACCTCTGTTTATAAAAGGCCCCGAGTAATGGTGTTTTTTCCCTAAGGAACATTGTCCATGTAGTGAAGTGATAGTACTGTTGTGGTGGTGGCGGCTCGTGTTGGCTCCTTCAGAACCTTTCTCTCACTGTCTAGTTTAGCATCTTGCCTCTTGGGCGTGTCTCTGAGTACATTTAGTGATACACAGTCCAGAAAGGGAGTTAAGCGCCATCATAACCACTGATGGCAATAGCCAGTCATAAAACTTTGCACACTCCAATCTAGTATTTGGCCTAATGCATACGTGACTTGTTTCAAAAGGGCAACAAATGTTCTGATAGGAAGAGCGAGTGCAGTCAGCTCTCCATTATCCAGGGTAATGCCAAGTAATTATGTACTACAGGACAAGCTGAAGAGTAGTTTGGAGGCACACCTCAACATCTCTACAGGCAGCTTAGGTCCAAGCAAGATTAGCTGTAGTCTAGCGCTGGAATAGCTCTTTACGTTGCTTCCTGATGCCTTTATTTCTGAGGCAGGGGAGCTGCTTCTGTAGGGAGTTGCTTTAGGTTCGATAAACCTTTTGGTTCTGTGGCACACAAAATCAAATACGCTTTTTCAAGATGAGAGCTTCCAAAGCTCTAGAAGTGATACCGCTGTGCTTAGGCCACGCTATATCTGAGCCTGTAACCCAACAGAGACTGAGTTGCTCCACATCTGCAGCATTGATAGACCACCTAAAGATCAAGGAACTGCTTGATAAGCATGTATGTTATTGATTAAGCGACCTCCAGAGGAAACACTCGATTTAGTTTTGCATCCTATAATGCTTAGAATTCAGCCAGCTTTAACCTGTAACATATCATGGCAGTGTGAAAAAAAAGTGATGTTGGAAAGCAAACTATACATAAAGCACCCAGGATTATACATTGACAAATCTGTACGCAGTTCTGCCACAAGCACACAGGGGCAGATGACATTTGAAGCAGAGGTGGGAACCTCTTCAGCCCTGACTACTGTGACTACAAAGTCTGGGCACTGCAAAAGGAGGTGCTCGGGCTTGGGATAAGGGGCATAACACCGTTTATTCGTTTATTACTCTGCACCACAGTGCAGATGAGGAACAAGAAAATGCCTGTCCTATTCTAGAGCCAAGGAGTAGTTTCTTGTAAAGCAAGTTCTGGAATCTGTTCTTAGCCATGGAGCTCAGAGAATGGACTCCTAAGTCGATGCAGAAGACTTTTCATAGTCAGGAGCATGGGGCCCGGGTGCTACATCAGTAACCGAGTGCATTCTGGTTACAGGCATTCATTGTAGGGGAGAGAGAGGAAACATGGTTCAGTGGTTAAACTGCTGATCATTACCTGCAGGATGGGTTTCAGTTCTCTCCTTTATGACTAATAGCCTGCATGATGTCAGGCAAGTTTCTAGGGATTCATCAACACTTAAAAGTTTTGTCATTTTTTTGCCATACATTTCTCATTCTCTGTGCTGTTACTGGATGTAGCTGCCTCATTACTGTGGAACTTACATGAGTACATTTTTTTTTCCAGATAGGAAACAGAATGGTTAAGTGATAAAATAGTTCTTAGAAATTTTGCCAACTTCAGCCAGGAAGTCCATGGCTCTTTCCCGTTAGGATCCTATCTACACACGACATCATTTGTAGGTGGAATGCCAAACTGGGCTTCAGCTGTGATGCCCAAAATAGTATTGTTTTGTATTAAAAAAAATTCTGAGCTCGTTCGTATACACGGGTGTTATTTTCCTGACTTGGTTTTCACCAAGCCAAAAAACAGAAGAATCAAGGCAATGGTATGTAGGTTGTTAAAGAAATAGGCTTTTACTGTTAAAAAACATTTCTCAATTTTGGGTCCGTTATAATGTCTCTGTAACAAGAGAGGCTGAGTATTTATCTTTTAAGAATTTCTGAAATCTGTTTTTAGATTTTTCAGGGAAAGCTTCTCCAAAGCACTCATTTTCAGTACCTTAGTACTGAAAGTAGTACAGGCCATAGTCAGTAGCTTAGTAAATGTTAGCTTACCAATTAAACCCAACGTTATTACTGCTTGGCAGTGTGGAATTTTAACCTTGTGAGCATTCATCCTTACTCAAAAGGTGACCATCCCTTTCTAATTCATCAGTAATTTAAATGATGTTTTTCCATTAGTCTCTCAAGTGATTATATATGGTGAATGTAGCTTGTCTAGTGTTGGAACTAGAGCAAAAAACAAAGTCAGCTCATGCAAGCCAATAATAGCATTGCAGCATTGCATGATGTTTCTTCTAGGTCATCAGTGACTTTAGCACCACTAAAGTAAGCAACTTGAGGGTGAAAGACTTATTCAGCGCTTCAGTTATCCAGTTCACTCCAATTTAGACATCTTTTGTTTGGAGGAGTTAAATGACCCGGTGTTTGTGTAACTCATAATATTGCAGATTCATAAAGGAAGTGAGTGGTTTTCAATAATTCCACACTCCAGTTCCAGTATTGTAAGCCAGGACAGCTTCCAGAAAAGCAGTCCCATCTCTGGCTGCTCATTCTCACCTCTGCATTCCCCTTCCTCTCCCCTCAGATCCTCTTGTGCTAAACAGCTGCGCACCCATACAGTAAACCAGATTAGGGAATTGATCTTACATTAAAACTGAGCCAAAAGAGGCCTGGTCACCTTTCAGCTTCCTCACCGCATGGCTGTGCAAAGACTTGTGCCGGCACAAGGACGGATGAAGAGAGGCAGGGAAGCAACCTCTTTCTGTGGCAGTGCTGTCTTATGCTATCTTAAAATATTTTTGGAACTGCCTGTATATACAATACCTTCAGTGAAGCTTATGCCAGCTACGTTTTTTTTAAGCCAGAAGCTCACTGAAGCTAGAGTGTATATGTTTGTCTGTGCATGATTATAAATACATGCATACATACATATCTATATGAATATATCACTAAAAACATCTCTGTTTCTGTTCTAATCAGGAGCTATTTGGGAGTGGATGTCTAATCATGACTTTGTCTTGGCCTTGATCTTTTTTTAGCTACTCATCTACTCTGTTTATATTCTGTACAGATATTGCCATGCTAAAGGACCATCCAAAGGTCAGAGGTTTGGCTGTTGGCAGTTGGCTGCCCTTTCACCAGCCAAAATCTATTACTGTACAAATGGAAATCCCCAGCTTATCTTTAGGCACATGTTTGTCAAATTCTGGGATGGTAAAATTTAAACAATTTTGAGACGTTTATGCAGAGGATAGAATGTTAAAGGGCTTAGTTTCTAGTTGGTTATTTAGCAGTGGGAACCTGAGCAATTGAAAAATAAGAGATAAAACGTGTCCGGTGAAAGTATAATATCTAACTGTGCTCGTCAAACAATACTGGTATGTGGCCAATGAAAAATGTGAGTGGCATATTGAGAGAAGCCTGAGGATCACACCTGGTTTGCATAGAATGCTATTAATACCAGAAACACAGAAGTGTGAACCTCATAGGGTTCACAGGGCTTAGCATTCAAGATGAACATAAATCTCTTAGTAACAGCAGAAGTAGTTGCATCTGCCTGTCCCAAATTGTGCTTATCTCCCTTGTGACATAATGAGAAGGAGAAATCTAGTCAACCTATGAGTACTTCTTAGGTCATTGGTCCACAGCGCCTGGCTAAAATGTTGCTCATGTCCTGGACTTAGCTTGCTTGATAGTGCAGATGATTCCAAGCTAGACAGGAAAGCTAGATTTTGATACTATGTGTGTATTCCTACCTCAGTACATGTATTTTCTGCTATAGCTAATCCAGTTAGCTTAGGTCACTGGAAAGCACTTCAGGAGTTTTTAGAGGAGTACTACTCTTGCATGGGATCAATAGATGAAATCGTTTGAAAATGTCGACTTAAATTAAAACAGTATTGATAGTCTCCAGCTGATCTACTTCACAAGTGCCAACAGTTCAGAGGTTACTCTGAACAGACAAGATTGGAAAGGATGATAGGCTCGGAATGGAAGTGATGCCTTTTTGCTTTTGTGTTGCAGGTCCAATCAAGATACAAAATCATGCTGTGACAACAGGGCAATACATGCCAAAATACAATTGAAGCGCATCTGTGTCATGAGAGAAAGCAAAATTATTGAGATCTTTCTGGTTTCATCTCATAAGAAGGCAAGCTTAACTGGGTAAAAATGACAATATGTCTTCTAGATTGTGGGTTCTGTTTTGCATGAGGAGTTCAAATTCCATGGTCAGATAAGGCCTAGAAAAACATCTCTCTTTAGTATCCAGTGTGCTCCTATGGGAACTTTTTCCAGTGGCGTACACAGCAGCCTGGAAATGCAAGCCAGCTGCTGTTATAAATTTGGATATTCTTATTGGAGTTGGGAAGAATTTATCAGGACTTCATGGATGTGTGGAAACTCAGAGAACATCAAGCTGAGGAGTGGGGAAAATGTTCAGACACTTTAGGCTGCACTTGCAAAAGAAAGGAAATACTGGAATAGGATGGCATGCTGGGGACTGAATAGCTAAAGACTTCTGCAGAAATGGCACCAAGCTGAAGTCATAAGGAGCAAAGGAAATGACAGCTATCTGCAGTCTCCTGGAAGTAAGCTGCTACTCACCTGATTAGGATTTCTTTCAGTTCTGCAGACACTAAGCAGAAGTACTGTAGCTAAGATATAGGATTCTTGAGTTCAAGACCACAACTCATGTTGGTTGGAACTAGGGACACTGAGGTGTGTGATCTTCTAAGTTTATCTTCACTATGTCATGCCTTGACTTGTCCTGCCTTGGATTGGAAAATTCCAATTTGGAATTTTCTAAGGATGGTCCAAAACAGGAGTAGATCTTCAGGACAAAGATGGAGATTTTTCTTAACTTTTAGAACTTTGCTTCTCTACCTAAATAGTTCTAAAGACTTTGTCCGAGTAGATCCACATTTTTCAACACTGTCTCCCATCACATCCTCATAGATAAGCTCAGGAAGCGTGGGTTGGATGAGTGGACAGTGAAGTGGAATGAGAAGTGGCTGGATGGCAGAGCTCAGAGGGTTGTGATCAGCGGCGCAGAGTCTAGTTGGAGGCCTGTAGCTAGCGGTGTCCCCCAGGGGTCAGTCCTGGGTCCAGTGTTGTTTAACATATTCCTCGATGACCTGGATGAAGGGACAGAGTGCACCCTCAGCAAGTTTGCTGATGATACTAAACGGGGAGGAGTGGCTGACACACCAGAAGGCTGTGCTGCCATTCAGAGGGAGCTGGACAGGCTGGAGAGATGGTGTGGAGAGGAACCTCATGGAATTCAACAAAGGCAAGTGCAGGGTCCTGGTGGGAGGCCTGTAGCTAGCGGTGTCCCCCAGTACAGGAGAGAAATGGCAATGCTGCAGAGAGTCCAGCGGAGGGCTACAGAGATGATGAGGGTCCTGGAGCATCTCTCCTATGAGGAAAGGCTGAGGGAGCTGGGCCTCTTCAGCCTGGAGAAGAGAAGACTGAGGGGGGAATCTCACCAATGTGTGCAAATAGCTGAATGTGTCGAGAGGATGGGGCCAGACTCTTCTCCGTGGTGCCCAGCGGCAGGACGAGAGGCAACGGGCACAAACTGAAACACGGGAAATTTCCTCTGAACCTGAGGAAAAACTTCTTTCCTGTGAGGGTGACAGAGTACTGGAGCAGGCTGCCGAGAAAGGTTGTGGAGTCTCCTTCGCTGGAGATATTCAGAACTTGCCTGGACGCAACGCTGGGCAATGTGCTCTAGGTGACCCTGCTTGAGCAGTGGGGTTGGACTAGATGATCTGCAGAGGTCCCTTCCAACCTCAACCATTCTGCGATTCTGTGAAATTTTGATTTTCATATTGTTTCCATGCTTATTTTGGGATTAATTTTATAATTCTTAATTATATGTGATATGAATATACCTGTTGAGAAATCCATAAAGTGTCTGGGACCAGTTGGAGTCTCCTGGCTCAATTCTTTTTCAGTCAGGCCCAGGATGCATAGAGCACTTTTCTTCTTGCTGCCAGCCTAGAGTGTAACCATCAGCATGACCTGGGGAACTTCTGTGTATCCCGTTGTTTCCTGGCTACTTCATCAGCCCCATATATCTGCCAGCAGCTAGTAAATTGGCCTGACTTGTACTTGATTGTGAATCAAAAGTATTCCAAGGACACCTTTGCAGCCCTTGTTCCTGTACTGAATAACCTTCTTAGCTGTAATTAAGAGTCATGGCTTGCGCAGTAGGGTACAGTCTTTCATACATGTTTCTTGTGGTTTTTAAAAAATTATCAATGAATAAATGCTGTGCACTTCTGCAAAGGAGGAGATACTATTACCACATGTTACAAATCAGGAAATCGTGTCCTAGAGATAGCAAATGATATTGCAAAGGCCACAGAACGGATCCATGCCAAATTTTGGGACTGCAGCACAAGATTTGTTCCAGTATTGCATGCTAACTCCCAAAACTGTGATTCTTAAACATTGTCTGAACAGTAGAGGCATATCATTTACTGCCTAAAAAACTTCTAAGTTGAAGAGTGTACTGTTGTTATTTAAGTTGTGTAGCAGAGAAAAATAATGTAACATTTCTATATTTATATCAGCTATAAAATTATGGGCAGTTGCCTAAGCAGCACACAGTTTACATGTAAAGAATAAGCAGTGAACATTTTTTAATAAACAACTTTGAAACAGTTACTTATGAGTGTACCAGTGCTGTAGTATGGGTACAACACCAGAAAATAGTAGTTTAGACAGTTAATGTCTTAGAGGTTTATTTAATAAATAAATTACTCTAGTGTACACCTGAACAGTAGCAACTAGTGTTTATACAGTGCTATGACAATATCTTAAGCTACGTAAGTACTGCATTACTTTATTCACTCAGACTCCAGTGTATTTGCTAAGTATTGGATCTGTAGCAGTTTTACATACTACATAATGAACGGGTTAAATGAGAACTGGAAAGCTTAGAGAAGCGAAAGGTGTTACAACGCACTGAAGTACCTTGGAACTGGAGCTTGCAATGGGCAGGGATTGAACGTGACAACAACAGATCCCTGACTCAGGAGTATCAGCAGTTTTTATTGTTGGATATCAGCCAGATTTTATTCTGAGCCCTGTATTGGGGTTAAGATTCTTCAAACAGTACCGAGCAATAAAGAAATCTCTACCTTTTTGCTTTTGAAGGATAATTATCGTAACTGCTCTTTATCATCAGTATTTCTTATGTTACCAGTTCTGTAGACTAGCTGTTCAACTGTTAGTGAGGAACAGATTTTATCTATGATACATTGAGCTTTTCCTTTTTTTAAAAAACATAATACGGCAAAATGAATGCCTGAATGTTTGTTTTGTGTATTTTTATGGTCCAGGTCCTGAATTCTGTTGACTGAAATTTAGGCATCAGTGAGCCATATAAGGGATTCATGACAGATTCTCTGTTAAATCATTCTCCTGTGTGAAAATGGTCCAAAACACATACTAAAAATTCATGTAAGTTATTTTGACCCACTAACAGCTGTCTTTTTTATCAGCCAGCTGGCAAGGAGACAGTAGAATGCGTTAAACCAGTGCTTGAAGTGGGACAGTATGTGGCAGCCTGCCATACCACTGCTCTCTTACACTGAACGTCAGCATGCCATAGCTTTAGGAGGGAGTCATCTGTGTTCCCAAAACCTGCAAAAGCTCTGAGAGAGCAATTGCCTCATTTGATCACCTGCAAGGATTTTGGATAGGCTGGTCCGAAAGACTGCTTCCACAGGAAGGAGTGGTGGAAGGCAGAGTCTACAGGACACAGAACCATACTGCTATGTTTTCTTAGCTTCATTTGAACTCTGGGTTTTATAAAGGAAGATATTTGACAATTAGACTTGCTTTGTGCATGAACTCAAAAAAATCCCAAAACCAAACAGTGGAATAGAGTTCAGAAAGAAATCTTTGGGAAAGGTGGGAAACCCAAAGGAGTCATTCAGCAGTGTATGATTCCATTTACCACACTTCGGAAAACAAAAATGTAACTCCCTTTGCTGTCATTGGCAGTTTGATGCCTGCCTTTCAAGCCTTCAGAGTCCCTGATGTTTGGACTCTCATAGCTTGGGGTTATATTGTTGTGCCTCCGTCACTGCTCTGTGATACAGTTTAACCAGCAATTTGTTTTCCATCTTGAATTTCTTATAGTGGTGGCATGTACAGGAGAACTGAAAAAGAAAATGTTCCACTTTAAGTTGACACTTAAAAAGGGTAATGAAGTCATTTGTTACATAATGGAGTCACAGTCCAAGCTGATCCAGGTAAACACAGAGTATATGTTTTAAGGGTGCCACATGCAGTATTTTTACTATTAAAAAAATCCAAATAAATTCTTACAATTTTACACACTGAGGATTCGTGTAGGTTAGGTTACTGGTATTCATGAGGTTTGTTCAGTTATTCGATAGTCAGATTTAATAGTTAAAATAAAGAAATTATCCGAGGACCACCAACAGCATAAAAATAAGGGAACTCGTAGAAAAAACAGGATTACAGTCTTTTCACTATTGTATAATGTGTGATCTGAAAAGATTCTAAATGCCCTCATCACCGTCTTGCAGGATTCCAGATAAATATTTTTGTTTCTCCCTGAAATCTTGGAAAAAAGAATGAATCCTCTGTATTATAGTCTCTTAGGAACTTGTTAACTTTTCTGTATATTTCTTCATTTTAGGAGGATTATGTGAGGTTAAGGACACAACTGTGAGTAGCACTGTGAAGATAAATAGTGAAAAACTCCTAATATGTGGACGTTTAGAACTTTAATTAAAAAACAGGGTTTTTCATCAGCAAGTGAGCTTAGGCAATATGTTTTTCAAATTTTCACTATTTTGTAGTTGTGATGGTAAATTATGACATGTAAAATGCACTGTTAAAACAACAAATATTTAAAAGTTTTCTGTTTCTCACTCTTTTGCACTTTTAAAATTCCAGAGCAGTCTGTCATATCTTGTGCAAGTAGGCAGGAGTTTTACATGCCACGCTGTATTTTTTGTAACTCTAGAAAGCAATGATTTAAAATTGAAATCTCATCAACCATTTGGCTG